TGAAGAACTCGACCAAAAGGGATGGCATGAGATTTGTGGACAAAAAGTTGCGAAAATTGAACGACGAGTACATCAGTGTTCGCGAGGAATACGAGAAAATGCAAAACGATTTGTCGAAGGATATCATCGCCGACACCGGTATTATCACTCACTTCTCACATTCAGATAACAAACACATTGTTTTCTAAGAATCAATGTTTGAATTTGTTTTTTAGCCAAATATTCGGATGCAATCAAAGATCTGGATATTCTGTTGACATATTTGGATGTAATGGTAGGTCTGGCGTCCGCTTCACTCGCGCCGTCCATTGCTTACGTTCGACCAAAACTTTTACCAAAAGGTAGTGTTTTGTTAATTTTGAAAACTTACTGAAATAGCAATAAACTAATTGCTGTTTATCTTAAATGTTAGGTTCGGGTAAAATAGATGTGAAACAAGTCCGTCATCCGTGTCTCGAACTTCAAGACAACTTCTCTTACATCGCAAATGATGTCTCATTTGATTCAGAAACTGGAAAATTTTATTTTATCACAGGTTTTGTTCAAATGTTTTGTCTTTTATGTGTAATTAAAAAATCGTAAATTTAGGGCCAAATATGGGCGGAAAGTCGACTTACATCCGATCGGTCGCGTTGTGTGTATTGATGGCTCAAATGGGTTCATACGTTCCCGCAGAGAGCGCTACCATTTCGATAGTGGACTCCATATTCACACGAAGTGGTGAAGACATCGGCGACAATATGAACGCAAACGATTCCGTTGCTGAAGAGGAGCCCAAATTAGATTTATTGACTCGTTTTGTGACTTCTCTGAGCCAATCACTCACGAAGTGGTTTATGAGAAGAAGTGGTTCCAGAGGTTGGGTCTATAGGGTTAGGGTATTATATAACGACCCCTTCCAGTGGTAAGTCATGTCTTGTGAATGTGTGACCAACTGCTGACTCATTTGATCCCAATTTGATTCCAAAACAGGCAATTAGTGAAGAGTTGGCTCTTCTTCGGGGCCGGCGTTATCATCGCTCGAGAGATCGCAGCCATTGATTTGTCGCCCAATCCGTTGCCCACAGTATGAGTGCCTCAAGAAGTGGTCACTCATCGCAACAATTCATCCCATTTATTATCGAAAGGATTAGTCATTCAATTGTAGTTTTTTAAATATTGATTACATTAAATATAATGCAATTTTGTATATATTTAATACATTTCTAAAACTAATACTCGATTCAAAAATTGTTATTTAAATTTAGTATTGATTTGAAAATTTGTTTTTTGTACTCTAAATGAGAGCAATGTATTCGTGAATTAGTTAATTAAATACTTTTGAATTACATTTAATGCTGAATACAATTATTCAATTAGAAACATATTTATAGTTTGATTATATCTGAAACCTTTTGGTTAATAAATTTAATCTCGAAATAATAATTGAAACGATAAAACATTGAATGAATGTAATTCTACACGAGATAGGCTTTAGTTGACAATTGTTTGAGTTATAATTTTATTACAACTAAAACTAAACCGAAAACTGCTTTATTTTAATGAATGTCTAAAATTATATGAGAAATATTGCGCTAAAAGTTATGGCAAACCAAGAATTTATTTCTTTAAAGTCTTTATTAATTGATTTACTAAAAGGTGTTATAAAGACATCAAATGAACTAAAGATACGATGGATTCCTTTCAAAACAATTGATTTAAATATTATTAAAGACATTGGATTTTAATCAACAGAAAGTGTTGAAGAATTACACTATTTTATGATTTCTATTAATAAATTGAAAGGAATTGAAGAAAATTCTGTGAAAAGTGATTCAAATGACGTGAAAAACATTAAAACAATTAACGAAAAGTCAGAAAACCAGTCTAAAGACAGGACTAATACATCAGTTGTGAATCCCATGAGTAAAGCCGATAAGAATCCCATCTCTGAAGTGAATTCATTAATCAAAGGATTTATGTTTAATCCAATGATTATCTCGTTTCTAATGATTATACTCTCATTTCGACATCTCTTCGCTCACTATTCAGTAGAAGACATAATTGAAAACTGGATTTCATTGTTATATTCATCGCTTGTAATCGTTGTCTTAACTTTGATAACAACTGAAACTCACTATAGTTTTAGAGGTCGTGGAAAAGTGAGAAATTGGCACTTTTGGCTCAATTCGCTTAAAGGGTTACTATTTATCGATTTTATGTTTTTAACAAAACTAACTGTAATATTTGTAAATATTTCGACCAACAGTTTTGGTTATATTAATTGCATATTAATTTGCTGTTATATCTGTCGATTTATTCGCTTATTTGTTTTACAAACTATTGTATAAATAATGAGACGAAAGACAAGAGAATATAAGTTAAAATTAGCCCAATATATCGTTTCAAACGGAATTGATTTTCATTAATATTTACAACTTATTGCAAAACTTTAATATTTTGAATAAAATTACATTTCGCTATTAATAAATACATGTATTTTTTTTGTCAAAGCGAGATATTTAAATGGTCCACCAGTTAATGTGTTAATTGTGAATAAAATTCATTATTGCTAACAAAACATGTTTATTAAGATGTATATCTTATACATTGTAACATCCGATGAGTATCAATTGTAACAATTATGTTATATAGATTATTGTATTGTAATTCATATTTTTAAATAATAGTACTTAAAAATATAATCAAACACTAGAGTACTAATATAATTAACTAAAAATATATTATAATTGAAAATATATTATATTAAAGGTTTAGGGATTTTTCATGTAAATTAATTACAAGTTTTAGTTAATTTTACAAAATATGTTTTCATCAAATAATTATTTCTAATACTTTCTAAAAATTTATGAAAATACCAAATATTTGAAACATTAATTACAGAACCAATAATTAAATAATACTTGACTACAAATAACTGAGTTTTAATTTACTAATTATTAATTGTAAGAAATGCTAATCTTTTCCACACATTTCCAGTCAAACATTACATGTATTTTTACAGAATATTCTTTACGACAAAACTTTGTTTCAAAACCATTTGAAAATCGCGTAATTTGTGAGCAAAACATTGCTTTCATTTGTTTTGTAAACAAATCGTGAGTTTTAGCGAAAACACCGACCGATGGCTGAGTCGGTGTCCGCCGAGTGGTCAGCACTTCCCGAGTCATTATGGCTGTTGATATTCTCGCGCTGCGAAGTCATGGATCTGTTGGCCATCAAAGATGTTTGCTTACAATGGCGTCGAATCGCCAGAGATTTGTCTCTCATCTCACGACTCGATCTTCGGATAAATGGACACCAAATCAAGTCTTTGACACATTTGTTATCATTTGTCGGAAACGACTTAAAGGTACTGAAGATACGGATCGCCAGAAGCGGTGACAAAGCGAACGCATCGGTCGCTCGAAGACGTGTAATGACAGACATATTGATGGATGAGTTGCGCGACAATTGTCAACAACTGAATCGATTGTCTTTAGAGGACATGACTGTCGGCCTAATCCCCGACGACTCTCTGCCCAACACTTTAACCCATCTCTCAATTACTGGTTACCGAAGCGATGGAACCGATTGTCCGCCGCCTATGGTTTCCATCATTTCTATATCCATATTTGACTCCAATTTGATCCACTGTTCAGACAAATTGCGGTCAATTATATACCTCAACATCAGTCACATCGATATCTTCGAGTCACAGATGTGTCAATCAATCAATCAATTTGTTTCGTTAAAGTATTTATATTTAGAGTCTTTGTTTCGCGTAAATGACGGCGGATTTACAGACATCACCCCTCACTTGATCTCACAATTAGTGGTCATCGACTTAGAGGGCACTGATGTCAAAGACGAGACTTTTCAATACATTGTAAATAATGGCCACTCTTTGGAAGAGCTATATCTCGGAAAAACTGAAACTCACGGAAACATTGTTGTAAATAAATCTGTGACCAAAAGACTCAAAAAGTTATGTGTTTTGAATACATGTGTTGAAAGGAATAGTGTATTGAATATTCTTCGAAGTCATTCGTCATTACAATCATTGAATTGCAACGAAGATATCAAACAGACAATTGATTCGCCAATTGTTATCACTATTATTAGCAATGAAACCAATAACACATGTCTTCACTATTTAAGTGATCAACGATTTGATGGCAAGAAATGATTGTAATTTGTATTAATTTAATTCAAATGTATTAAAAAAATTTTAAAAATACATTAAATGATTGAGAAATGGAAGAAAAAATTCCGGGATATTCCTAAAAGCCATTAACTATTGATCACCAAATGTGATATGAATTTGCTTTTAGGACTTGACATATAAAATATAAATTTATGAATTTAATTATTAAAACCAAAACTTAAAAGCAATAAAATGTGTGCATTTATTAGATATATTGTCGATAAAATTGGCGTAAACTCAAGGATTTGTTATTACGTAAACAAGTGTTGAAAAATTCAAAGAAATAAAAAGTAATAAAATGTTGAAAATATTTTCCGCAATTTAATAGAAATAAATGTTGTTTTTTTGTACTATTATTTGTTCACTCGATGTCCACATTGTTGTTGACTTCAGTTCGGGATCTTTTGCGCAGAACAGTAGTGGTCGGCGACGGCGGACGGTTTGTCAGCGTCTTATCGGCGAAATACTTCAAAATATAGGGCTTAACAGTAATCCAAACCTTTTCCTCCACCAACAGGTCTGTGGCGGCGTCGATGTCGGGATACATAATGCGGTCCTTATCCCAAGGCCTACATAAACCAGTCAAACACTAAATACACGTAACTATAAGGATGTGAATGAATGGTTTACTTCGCCACCTGACGAACCAACCCGTAAACCGCTTCCAACGGCATTGTTGTCCGCAATGGCCGCAGGAATTCAATGGCCTGACACGCGGCCAACAACTCGATCGCAATGATCTTTTCCACGTTCTCTATAACCTGCAACACCTTTCGGGCGGCGAATCCTCCCATCGATACGTGATCTTCAGTGCCCGCAGACGTGGACAGAGAGTCGACTGACGCCGGATGGCATAACACCTTATTCTCGGACACTAATTAAGCATAATTTTAAACAAAAGTTTGCGAACAATAGTAATGATAGAGACAAACCGAGTGCAGCGGCGGTGCAGTGAGCGATCATAAATCCCGAGTTGAGACCTCCGTTGTTGACCAGAAAGGCCGGGAGTCCGCTCTGCGCCGGATTCACCAGACGCTCGACACGTCTTTCGCTCATTGATCCCAACTCGTGGACACCGATCGCCAAATAGTCCAATGCTTTTGCCGGGTATTCGCCGTGAAAGTTACCGCCGGATATGATTTCGTTCATATCTGTGAACACGAGTGGATTATCGGTCGCAGAATTCATTTCCGTATTAATGATTCCTTTGACAAAATCAATGGTGTCGTGAACTATGCCGTGAACCTGAGGACAGCATCGGATAGTATAGGCGTCTTGAACTCGATTACAGAATCGATGCGATTCCGCGATTTCCGACGGATATAAGTCTGAGTTGAGAACAGAGCGTATTCTTCGGGCCACTAAACTCTGTCCCTTATGCGGTCGGATCTTATGGATCTCTGGATCAAACGCACGGGTCGTGCCCTTAAGCACTTCCAGAGTCATTGCGGCCACGATATCGGCCTGACGTGCGATCGCCGCCGCCTTCTCTACGGCGTCGGCGCCTAACGATGTGATCAATTGAGTGCCGTTTATCAGAGCCAACGCTTCCTTCGGTTTCAATTGAAGTGGTTTGAGATGATGTGATTCGAGGACATACTTCGCTTCACCCCAACCGCTCTCAGGCGACCACATCTTTCCCTCGCCCATCATTCCCAGCGCTAAATGTGACTATAAATGCAAACGCTTTGTCAAATTATTGTCACGTTTATTAGGTTTTGGGTTATATTACAAGTGGTGCCAAATCACCCGACGCTCCAACAGTTCCCTTCTCGGGGACCCACGAAAGACAAGACGAGTTGAACGCGTCGATCAACTGAAGCAATGTCTCCAAAGAGATGCCAGAATACCCTTTCGCTAAGACATTGATTCTGAGCGCTAATAGCATTCGTGTCCTTTTAGGTGATAGTGGTTTCCCGACGCCCGCCGAATGACTTCGGATCAAATTGAGCTGAAGATCTTTCAGATCATCTCTACTAATAATTACATTCGCAAACTTTCCGAACCCAGTGTTTACGCCATAAACCACTTTATTCTCATCTAAGATCTCTTCCAACAGTTCCCTTCCTTTCCTCACTTTTTCTTCGGCTTCATTCGTCATCTAATGGTTTGTTTGGTTTGAATTTTAAAATACATTTACGCCAAACATGACATTAATTGATACCCTTATTCTGAAGAGTCCGTTCCCCAGTCTAATCAAGTCATCGGCCCCTAAACTGTTCCCATCGAGTGATAAATACTTTATAAAAGAAATTAATTAAAAATATTTTTAGGAAAAAGTCCTTTTCAAGCGTAACCTAAATATAATTATCTAAAGAATGTTCATCACCTGTTCCGGAGGCTTATACTTTCCAGAAACCTGTTCCGGAATGTAATGTATTTCAACGGGTCCTGTGACTGGACTGGCCTTATCGCTGTGCAGTACTGCAAAGCATTCATTTTTAGCATATTTTATTTTATTGTAATTTTTATTTAAATCTCAAATATATTGCAACAAATTATAGGAATTATATGTAAATAAAAGGTAAAGTGTTAAAAATGTTGATTAAATGAAAGCAGACTCACCGACGGATACGAAATCATTGTCATCTAAGACATTGCAGAGGAGGTCATCGGGATCTAGTATAGCACCGCCTTTTGTTTTGCGGATCTCATATACGGTCTCTAGTGGTGAAACATTGGGCACATGACTCGACGGCTTTAATTTCAAGTACCGTTTGAGCGCCTCTTCGCTGAGCCAACGGACAGTCTGTCGATCCAATTGAATGCACGGAACGGCAAACCATTCGCCACGAACTCGGACTGAGATTTTCATGATTTTTGTCGCAATAACTCAAAGCTTACGTTAAGACAATCAGTTATATATCGCAATTCCCATTCAATTTGATTGGTTGGCAACAAAATAGCAATTAATTGATGAAAAAACTAATTAAAAGCAATTTGTATGCAATTGATGTCCAAATCATAATTGAAAATCTAGTTATTATTATTTCCTAACGGAATGACTAATATTTCGTAAGGCATTGAAGTAAACAAAACTTTTATTTGATTTCACGATAAAAACGAGTTTAAAGTCATTAAATTTCATGACAATCTTTTTTTAACTCAAAAATATTAGTAAAATATCGTAAATAATAAATAAAACCAAAAAACAAGCGAACATTTTATACAATATTTTAATTTAAAACTTGGTATCGATTGAAATGGGATTCTATGGAGGATTGGCAGTGATTCTGGTGGACATTATTGGCCAGAATTTGGGCTGATTTACATCACAGAGTCGGTCGAAGTTGAGTTGAATAGCGGTTTCCATGCCTTGAATCACGTTATAGTCTTCGCCGTACAACTCATACATCTTCTCGCGCTTCACCTCTTGAGCGCTCTTTCCGTTGTCATCAGCGGTGGTGGTGTCGGCGGCGCCTCGACTGACAACACTCTTGTAGGCCCTCTTCGGGGCCACACTTTTGCGGGAAAACGAGTCAATACGACTGGCGTCGATGTACTCGACGCGCGACGCGTACCGCAGTTTCTTCTCCTTCCACTTCTTGCGCTCCGTTTGATGTCTTCTGGTCTTCATTACGAACTCCAAGTACTCATCGGTGATGTCTTCGTCGCCGACCTCTTCCAACGCAAACGTGTCGTCGCTTTCATTATAATTGCACTCATTTTGATCCATCGTTTGCGACAAATTCATTGTCCGATGCGTTGACTGTCGGCCACTCATGTCGTGAGTGACGCCCGCATTGGTATCAGTTTGTGGTGATGTGTGACAGTCTTCGTCGGACAGATCGCCGCCAAAAGGGATCACTTTATGGCCCAACTGTTGCAACCATTTGTTGCAATTCTTGTAATGATTCCAGAAGTGGTTGAATACGGGCTCCGAATACCACTCATTAGTGCCACTCTTCGGCCGTCCGCTGGCCATCGTATCCGCCGGTGATAATCGGCCAAAAGAGATGGCTTTGGCTTTTATATGACAATTAAATCAGTCATTCAATGCATTGTTAACTATAAACACAAAATCAAAACAAAGTGAATGCGAGTCAATGTCTGCCATCTGTTGAACACAAAGGCATTAGAAATGCATTCAAAAAGTATTGCAAACGAAAGGAAAACAGATTTTGTGTTTCACTTGTGTTTTGAATGCATTTTAATTGTTTGAATGTTTGCCACAAAAACGGGATATAAAACTCTTTGGCCACTAATTGTGTGACACTTTTCTGAAGATCACAATTGAAATGAATACACATTTGAGACAATGCTTTCGAAATGACATGAATTGCCGTTTTGTTCAACAAATCAAACACTGAATGAACGACTGATTTGTGTTTTCATTGAAATCAACACAAAAAACAATGGATTCAAAGGTTTGTGTCTTTACTTTCAAATGCAATGATTTAATGGTTTGATTGTATTTAACATATGATTGACTCTTAGAGTGAATCTCCCGCCGCCGAGGAAGTGATGGAGCCGTCGGAGCGCATCTGCATTGAGGACAACAATAGTCCGGATCAGCAAAACGACGAAGAAGTGGAGGAAAAGCAACAAATCGTTGCGTTTATCGCTGAATGCGAGGAACGGTTGAAATCGAAACAAAACCAAAGAGAAGACAACAGCAAAGACCGGATCCAATACCCGGAGGAGTCATTCTTCGCACGCCTCGACTCATCCATCAAAAAGAACTCGACTTTCGTGAAGAAGTTGAAGAATATGACCGACGCTCAGAAGGAGTCCATCTTTAAGGACATGAATGGTCTGAATCTAACGAAATATATCTCAGAAGTGGCCAACGCTGTCGTCGAGGCGAAGATTAAACTCACAGAAATACCAATGGCTGTGAAGATATGTTCGGCTCTCCATCAGCGATATCCCGACTTTTCCGCACAACTGCTCGACTCGTGGCACAAGAATTTGCCGAAAAAGGCCGGCGACCCCATCAACGCTTCCAAAATGCGGATCGATGTCCGCCTCTTTGCTGAACTCATCTCTTCGGGTATCTTCACCGCCAAAGAGGGACTCCCAGTGTTGGGCAATCTGTTGACACTATTGACCACAACAGACAAAGAGAGTCATCAGAATTTGAATATATTGTTGTCGTTTTGTCGGCACTGCGGCGACGATTACGCGGCGTTTGTGCCGCGAAAGATGCGAGTGTTGGCCGACAAGTATTTTTTGACAGTACCTCGAAGTGAATTCCTTCCGCCCGACCGCAAGAAAGGCGTTCAGCATTTATTGAGGGAATACTGGAAGTCTTTAACCATTCATGTGGTGAGTGATCACAAGAATCTGCAAAATCAAGAGAAACAGATCCGAAAGGCGTTGCAATTGAAAGGAGAGGTCTCTAAAGAAAGGAAAGAGAAATATGACGCCAAACAACTCGATTGGCAGAAGTTGTGGTCTTCGACACAACAGTTCGCCGATATTATTGACGAGGATTTGCCGGTTCTGTCACCAGATCTGCCGGAGTTCTCAGACGACAACGACGAGTCAAATCAAGGCATGAATTTCGATGTTTCCAATCGTTTCAAAGGACAGCCAGAGTTCGAATCGGGAGCCCTTTGGGAAGACGAGGACACCAGAAGTTTCTATCAGCACTTTCCCGATCTTAAGTCTATTATTCCATCCATTCTTTACAAGGATTGTGTGAAAGAGTCGGACAACAAATCGGATCCAAACCAGAAAACAGACGAAACTAAAGCTGAGGGCGAAGAAGAAAATAAAGAAATTAATGAAAACAAAGAATTGAATGAAAACAAAGAGGAACTAAACGAAGAGAATATTGATATAATTGAAGACAATCTTGAATTTGAAGAGGCGATTGACGAGATCGAGGATCCGATTAGCGCTCCTGTCGTTGATATAGAGGTGGAGGACAGCGACGAAGACTCGAGCAAAGAGGCGGCGACTAAAGTGTCTAATAAAGTGCTTTTGGACGCGTTTTTCAATACAATAGTGAATTGTGTGAACAGAGATATGATGGATAAGGCGGCCATCGATTTCTGCACAAACCTTAACACTAAAAATAACCGCAAAAAACTGGTCAGAGCTCTGTTTACTGTTCCGCGAACTCGTCTCGATTTGTTGCCATTCTATTCGCGATTTGTGGCACAAATCGAGCCAATAATGCCAAACATTGCCACCGATTTGGTCGCACTTCTGAAGCAAGACTTTCGATTCCTGTTTCGCAAAAAGGATCAAATAAACATTGAAAGCAAAGTGAAAAACGTCCGCTTTATCGGCGAATTAGTCAAATTCAATATCTTTCCCAAACCAGAAGCCCTTAATTGCCTTAAAGTATGTAATTTTAACACTAGTTTGTATAGCAATGTATTTAAATGGTATTCTTGATTATATATGCAGTTATTATTACTTGATTTCCGTCACCATCACATCGAAATGACATGTAATTTGTTGGAAACGTGCGGACGATTTCTCTATCGCTCTCCTGAATCGCATTTGAGAACAAAACTACTTTTGGATCAAATGATGCGAAAGAAAGCTCTCTTACCGTTTGACTCGAGATATATAACAAACATTGAAAACGCATACTATTTCGCAAACCCTCCCGAATCACAGACTGTAAGTACAGTCCAAACAATTGAGTGATATATGACCAGCCCTTACATCCATTACAGATCATTCGCGTAGAAAGGCCTCCAATGCATGAATACATCCGGAAACTGCTTTACCACGACTTAAACAAAACAAATGTGGATAAAATTCTGCGTCAAATCCGTAAACTTCGGTGGGAGGACAAGGAGTTGTCGTCGTACGCCATCCGGTGTCTGACCGCCATCTGGAACGTCAAGTTCTATAACGTGCGGTGTGTGGCCAACCTATTGGCCGGTTTGAACTCATTCCAGGAGTGGGTCGCACCCCAAGTGATCGACGGAGCGCTCGAAGACATACGCATCGGTATGGAAATGAATTCTCCCAAATTCAATCAGCGAAGAGTATCGATGTGTAAATTCTTGGGCGAACTCTATAACTATCGTTTGGTCGACTCGTCGATTGTCTTCAAAGTGTTGTATTCATTCGTGACGTTTGGCGTATTTTACGATCACTCCATTTATAGTGATTCAGATCCGCCCGAAAATCTGGTCAGAATTCGACTCATTTGCCAACTCTTGGAAACTTGTGGTCAGTATTTCAGTTCAGGTCTGGCGAAGAAAAAACTCGACTGCTTTTTGTTCTTCTTTCAGGTTTGTGTTGACTCTATTGTTACTAAAGTTTGCATTTATTTGATTCAAATTTAATGTTTTTCTCTTTTAAACCCAAAGAAATACTTTTGGTTTAAGAAATCATACGATTTTTATACAGAAGAAAATCCATTTCACTTTTCAATGGATTATTTATTTAAAGACGTGATTCTGTTATTGAGGCCTAAATTCAAATTTGCCACATAAAGAAATACTTTTGGTTTAAGAAATCATACGATTTTTATACAGAAGAAAATCCATTTCACTTTTCAATGGATTATTTATTTAAAGACGTGATTCTGTTATTGAGGCCTAAATTCAAATTTGCCACAAATTATGAGTCGGCGCTGAAATCTGTGGACGATTTGCTCAAAGAACTGACTCCTCGAGTGCAGGAAGTGTTGCCCAACTTTAAGCTCAGACTCGATTCGGAGACAATGTCCGAAACCGATGACCAAAATCCCGGACTTAATCCTATTGTCGAAGCGGAAGAAGAATCAGCTCCTGAGGAGGTGTCACACCAAGAGAGTGACTCTGACGATGAATACGAGTTTCCTACTGAACAACACTTGGAATTCAGACAAAAGACCACCACTGATGAAGATAATAATGGAAGCGAAAGCGACGGTATTTATGTATCGGATGATGACTTACGAGGAATGGAAGGCTCGGAAAGCGGACCCAAAACAGTTCACTGTCCAGAAGACGACGATTTTCTAAAGGATTTCGACAAAATGATGAGCGAGTCGTTGGTCTCCAGGAGTCAGGAAGTGGTCCGAAGTAATACAGATATTGTGATTCCTGTCAATAGAAACGTCACCAAAAAGAGTGTCGCCTTCACTGACTATAATGAGCCCAAAGAGGAACCGATTGATACTCCGACCATAAACTTCATGATAATGACCAGAACTAAAGGCAATAAATCGGTGCTCAGGACTGTTG